AACACGATGAGCAAGTAAGTGTAAAGTAATAAGTTAAATACTTAGGTAATCGATACGTATGTGGTTAACGGTTTGTCTAAACCACAGGCGTTCACCACAATTGCAATCGAAATAATGGTCCAATTATCAAAATATAATCACCCATTTATGATGATTGGGTGATTATTTTATGATAATTGACCATTATTGAAATGGCAAATGTGCCGGACGCCTGTGTCTAGATCTAAACATAACGTAGATCAGACTACCGGATGCAAATTAACCTCCTCTACTACATTGTTAGACGCCGCGTGCACGCGGTGTCTAGTAGATATGCATTTGTCTATATAGCAATGGGAAAAATTTTAGACTTTATTTTGTGTTGTTGTTGTTTTTTTGTTTTTTTTTTTTTTTAACAAGATCAGAGTGTTTTCAATTTAAATCAAAATAGCTTTTCTGATGAACAACATGTCACAGAGCTTTAAGGGATTATTAGAATAAACGTTTAACTGAAGTGATGCTTGAATATCATATTCTTTTTATCATTAATATCTAATTTTATCTACATATCTACATAATAAATAACATGCCAATCACCCAGTCTATAGTCGATTGTTCTAAAACTTTACCGTTGAGAGAGGTAACGACTGATGTAGTGTCACTCACTTCATTTGCTCCGTTTCTGTTGAAGTTCGGCTCCGCCTTTAATTGTCGCCAATTTAATTAAAGTGACGGGGTGGAAGGGAACCAGGACAACTTTGATCAATATCACTTGTCGAATCATTAAATTACAAGTTACAAAGCCTAAACCACGCCAACTACCAGAGAGGCGGTTCTCCCTTAACCGTTAAGAAAGTGCACCAAAATCTGCGCACTGGTTACGCTACAGCCAGTAAGGGGAGATCACCGCAGAACAGTTCGTCCACAAAATCATTTGAACATTATGCAATTCGTATCAAAATTTAAATGGATATATTCTCGGCATATTGTCTTGAATTTATTTAAAGTATATCAATCATTTCAATTTTACTTGTTTTATTTATTTATTAATTTATTTTAGTTATTTAATTTATTAATTTATTTTGCTTCGACCAGACGTTTCAATCTTTGTCTCAACAGACAAACATTTCAGAAGTTCCGACATGGCATTACTTTGTGAATTTTTGCACTAGGTTCTACTTCATCTCAAAAATATGCAACTTAATTATTAAACAACGAGCACATACCAAGAACATGAAGAAAAATTGATTTCTGCTTCGGATATTCAACTGTAATAGAAAATGATTTTCAATGTTCACATCAATTTGGGGGTCTTTGATGTTCAGCATCAACATTTAACTTGTTTTATCAGTGATAGACGTCTAAGTGCACTGTTTCTAAAAATAGCTAAAGCAGATGAAGGTTTTTTTACACACAAAACAAAAAGGATCTTTAAAAAAAAATACTCTGCCGAACTATATTTGTTTTTTTTCTTCTTCATATTGATCTTAGGAAACATGGAAATAGAATCATAAGGATTATGATATTGAGCCTTTTACTGAATTTTACGCTTAAAATTTTTGAAATATTAAAATCATATGCGTATGTTGGCACATACAAATTATTTTAAATTGAAACAAAATGTGAAGTCTGAAGTAAATCCTTTAAAAGGAAAGAAGAAGTAAATCAGAACTAGAAACAAAACAATTTATTTCGTACTCAATTGTTTTCGTCTCAATTCATTTTTACCGCCATGTACATTCTTTTATTTCTATTATAGTGAATGTCGTTTTATCTCAAAGAAAAACACTCAAGTAATTGAAGTTTAATCAAATCGAAATTTCAATAGAATGTTTTTAAATGACAACGTTTTGTTGATACGAAATATCCGAATCAACAGATTTGCAACACCTTTGAAAATAACAAAAGAAACATAAAATCCGAAAAAAGAACCGAAAGTAAGCTTTCTAATCTATAATACTTTGGTAAACAAACCATTCAATAGTTAGAAGCTACTAGTATATGAATACTTCATTAATATGTAAAATACGTGAAAATTATAAACTTTGTATCCATCTCAAATAAATAGTTGATAATACCGGATATGTTCGTTTACTTGTGTGCTTTTCGCCATTTTCAAGGGCATGAGTAAACGGGATCGTGGACGTAATTGTAAGTGGTGTTTTCGTTAATGTTTGACCCAATTATTTCTCATTAAAGCAACGTAAAATAATCTGCAGGAAGATGCATGGTAATATAGAACTTATAATGTGTAGGAGAATGCATGCTTAAACAGAACTTAAAGATGTATCTGAAATTGAACTTGATAAGTAAAAGAGCTTATAAATGTAGATAGTTCGTTTCCAAATACAATATATATCAAATTTCTAAACTATTCCTTATTTTGTTTTGCAAATAGTTTGATCAATTTAACAGTTGTCTTCTGTTACCTGGGAACATCAGTCGAATAATTAAGAGCTGAGAACTTTGTCGATATATTGGGCATACATGAAGAAAATGATAATCATCTTCAACGATATTATCTTGGTTGCAAAATTTAAAATTATCAAAAGCGCAGATATTCACTATTCAGGTGATATTAGCACGGTTAATGCATAATTATCTGACCAAATACTTTTCTATCCGGTAAATAAAAACAGTTAGGGCAATTCAAGTTCTGCAATTTTGAAAACTTTATAAAACAATATCTATGTTTTAGTAACCTGGCTGTATTTCTTTTTAAGATTATGTTGATTTCTGTATTATAAGCCAATAATGAACTTCAATTTATTGCTGTTGTGTTTGTGTATTACGGATCGTTAGCTATGACAGAGTGGATTAATGTATGTCATTTGTAAGGTATCATCGTCGTATTTAAAAAGTAATGTTACATCTTGTCTTCAGATAGATATCTAGATGTCTATAACAGTAGAAAACCCAATGAACAAACCCGGGTTTTCTTTAAAATATGAAATAAAACAATTGTAGTAATGCCATTTACTTTTAACAATTAAATAAAGTACAATTGCTAAGCCAATAGCAAAGTCCTCGGCTATTATCCATAATAACCTCTAATGAAATCATTTATGTATCTTTTGATGACATTCACACTCTATCTTTGCATATCGTGGCTAATTCCTTAAGAACGAATGTTAAAATCGCTAAAAAAAAACACTTAAAAAATTAGTTGCCTTGAGTTGGATTTGAACACAAAACCTCTCACTTCCTAAAAGAGTGCAGAGATAAATTTGTTACTAGACACTAGTTAGTTGGGACGTAGTCCCAACTAGTGTACTTACAAACCCGAAATTTCCAACTATACAGGGTAACGCCCACTGCAGTGACGTTTCATCACCACTATATATGCCATATTGTATTCTTACATTTTTCAAGGAAGTTGAATTCATAGTGATCATCCGACCATGACCGACGCATAACCGCCGCGAGTGAAAAATAGTGCTCTGTATTTCTGAAAACTTTGATTTAAGCGAATAGAAGAGGAGATAAGAAATTTATTTGTTGAAAATCATGTGCAATTGAGCTTGACTTACGGTCTTAGAAATGCAGCAGATATAATTTGAAAGTTCGAGTAGTTCTATGAATGGAATAGTAATTGGTTCATAGTAATTCTATGAATGGAGATAAGCTCACAATATTCAACTTACGCATCCGCGCCTTATCATCACATTTTTTGTATGATATTCCAGAATTTTTTGAAAAAAGACAATTTTTATCGAATAAATTTTGTAGTTGATTTTTGCAAAGTGAATATTGAAATAGAACTACATTCTGTTTAATTTACAGATAAATAGATAATTCCCGAATTTTACAATACTTACTTTCCTTACCAAAAGTGGCAGACAATTGGGTTTTATAATATGATTGATGCAGCATGAAAACATCGAAATAATTAAACATCTAATTTTGGTGAATTATCAAATTCTTTTATACATTTAGAGGAAAATATTATTATAGCACCAAATTGAATATATATAAGATGTTCATCAGTTTATACGAAGATGATAGAATTATATAAGATTTTTTTTCTTATCTTAATCATATAAAGAATCAACTGGATTCGGTAACTCTACATATGACATAGCCCATCACTTATTTTAACTTCGCGCGTGTCCATTGTTAATGTATTGTATACAATATTTTTATTGACTTTATAGTAACAATCGCAGGTGTTTTTTTCTTCCCTTTTCATAATAATCAATACGTCATGTTTACATAGAATTTGATTTATTTATACACATTTCATGGTGAAATGTCGGATAAATTATTATTACTAGTAGTATTATTATCATCATTATTTTTAAGGCAAAGCATTAAAGTGGAATTGACGATCAATTTAGAACATCAATCACAGATAACTTTATTATTATCTACACACTATAGATAATTTTCTGCAATAGACTATTGTACTACAGATTATTATCTACACACTATAGATAATTATCTACAATAGGCTATTGTACTACAGATTATTATCAACTGACTATAGATAATTATCTACAATAGACTATTGTACTATAGGTTATTATCTACTGACTATAGATAATTATCTACAATAGACTATTTTACTATAGATAGTTATCTACAATTAGATTACGTCATAAGAAGATTATGGAACAGAGAAGAGAATACTGACACCCCCGAATGTCACTACTTATAACACTTTTATTTTATTCAAATTTGACATAATGGTTTTTATAAAAATTTGCTTGTACAAAATTATATTTTATTTTCTCCAACAGCAATCTTTATCTATACTTTAAATCAACATTCTTAAATAACCTCCACCTCTTTGTCATTATTATAATGCACGTTTAATATAATTAATCTAACTAACAATACACCTTTTTTATAAAACGCGTCAAATATCAATAATATAATACACACTACTTGATAACGTATCTACGTATATACTACCAACAATAGATTGCGCAATGCCATTAAAATAACCTTGCGCGTGCGCAGTGAGTGGCGCTAATCCTGCCCCTATGCTGCTGTTTTGTACAAGGAGAAACACATGTAATGAAAGATTGTGTTTTGCATTAAGTAAGAGAACGGTATTCTTATCCGTCAGAACCTACACTTGACACAGTTTCTGGCCTTACACAATTGAAAGTGAACTATTTATTACTTGAACATAATGTGTCAAGAATGTGACAAGAGTATTGTCATTTTTGTTTATTTTCATTTGAAATGTACTGGATTTATGTACTTTAAATTAATTTAAAATACAATTAATTAGATGCAAATTGGATTATTCTGACACAACTTAGAAAAAAACATTATATCAAGTAAGTAATACATTAATTGATATACTTATTGCATCTACATGGATTGCCATGTGATCACATTGATATGTTTACAAACAATATGGTCACATGGTTATTAAAGAAATATACTCCTCCCCTTAGATCAAATTTGAATATATGTTCTCAATTGTTTTAAAATTATAAGAACCTATTTCTTCATATATTTTGAAACTTCTTCTCTATAGACTGAAAGATTAATAATTTAACTTCATTTAGGATTTTTTCATTGTTAAAAAACATTATTGTACATCATATTTTTGTCAAAATTTCTCCGTTTCAAAATTCTAGAGTAAACACCAATTCATTTGTAATGTGATAGTATTAAGTATAGAACAAACCACAAAGGAATTATAAATGGGTATTATTGGCATGTATGAGATACATGATCCGTTATAACATATACATTTGTATTTATATAGCAGATAATAAAATGTTCTAGAAAACAAGAGGGCCATAAAGGCCGCTCACCTGACCTATCGGACTCATCCGAACAATTACCTAGACAAGCATTCTGACCAAGTTTCATGACAGGTGAGTCAAAAATGTGACAACTAGAGTGTTAACAAGAATTATTCATATTTGAGCGGTGTGACCTAGTTTTTTACCCAGGTGACCCATATTCGAACTTGTCCTAGAAATAATCAAAACAAACTGTCAGACCAATTTCCAGGATACTTGGATCAAAACAGTAGCCACTAGAGTGTTAAAATTCCTGTGACCTCATTGTTCATTTGAGATGACCCATGTTCGAACTCATCCGAGCTATTACCTAAAAAGCATCATGACCAAGTTTGGTGGTGATTGAGGCAAAAATGTGACCGCTAGAGTGTTAACAATGTTTTTTCTATTTTTAGCTCCGGTGACCTAGTTTTTCATCCGAGATAACACATGTTCGAATCACATAGACAAGCATCCTGACTAAGTTTGATGATGATTGAGGCAAAAATGTGACCGCTAGAGTACGTGTTAACGAACAAGTGTGGGCGGACGACAGACGACGGACATTCAACGATTCTTAAAGCTCAACCTGAGCTAAAAAGCATACTTATTTATCATACACAATCATGTTCATAACAAATTGTTAAGAACTTTCGTTTTCAAGCATTATATTTATAAGAATATCTAAATGATATATTTCTATTGTTTTTAACAATATTTAAAGTACCCATTGTACCCAAACCCACTGTAATATCCAGTCCTAATACTTAATAATAATTGAAAGTTGAATGGAATGTGTTGAATGTGTAGAAGGCAGTTGTTATTATTGAAGCAATTTGAACAGCATAGTGGTATATTATACTATCTGATAAAATGGACGATTGCAGACAACTTATAAATTTATAAATTTGAACGATGATAAATATAGCTCGTGAAAGGTATTTATATCAAATATTAAAATACATTGGCCATGTAATTTCTTTCCAACAATGTTGACTATTTACATATAATCACTTTTTTTATATATTTTACTTTCAAATATGTATGAAAGATGAACCCTATAACCCTAATATTCTTGATTTTAAGACTTACACAATTCATGTAATTTTAGATGTTAAGAAATCACCAATAGACTAAGTACCGCAGCTCATGAAAAGAATCAGATCGTACCCTTTTTAACTTCTTTATCAGAATTTTGAACAGTGTATAACAAGAAAGGGTCCATATGGGGAAGACAGAAGAAAGTACAGAAACAGCAATTGATGTTTGCGATCATGAACAAAACGACGACGCCAGCACAACTGACTACAGTATAATGACTTTTCATTATCCCCTTCGATGTTAATCTTTTACAAAGTTTTTGATAATTTTGTATGGTAATTGTAATGTCTGTTGAGTAGCTGTATACATAGAGGTAATGTTTAGAGGATGTTTCCAAGCATATTCTTTGACATATTTACATCAAACATAATCTAAATTTAATTCATTAATAGCCAATCGTCCATATAACATGTAATGCGCAAGTCAATCTCTTCTGTTTAAATATATGGTTTTTTTTATAAATAGGTTGTTTAGACTGGAATAAAGTTTTTCGTTTCTTGGCAAATCAACTAGATGCGGCAAAATGTTTGTTATTTTTCAATACCTTATATGGTAAGTTGCAATGTTGAATACTCATAAATTGGGCTAGCATATCAAATATTACATTATTAGATCGCTTTATGGTGATAGATTTTTATATTTAGAATGAATTAATTCATTTATCATGAATTCTTTCTTAAAGGAGTGTATGTATGCCATGCTAAACTTTAAATGCGTTAGGATTCTTTACATCCTCATGATTCCTTTATACTTAAAATGAATAAAAATGATGACGGAGCATCTGTAGCCGAGTGGTTAAGATCGTTGATTTCAAACCACTTGCCCCTCATTGTAGTGGGTTCAAATCCTTTGGATTCTTTCATGTGGTGAAGCTATACAGCTAGCTTATGGAACGTTGGTGGTTCTACTCAGGTGCCCGGTCGTGCCTGTAAGGCTGGAAAGTCGCCATTTGAACGTTTCTGTGTAAGCGCAGCGTAAAGCCAAACAAAAACAGAATAAATAATGATATATGATATATATATAAATGATTTCGTCCATCAGGAGAACATTCTTTCATTGTACTTTCCTAAAATAAAAAGAAACAAAACATCAAACGATGAATTCATGAAATTGAATCATGTTCAATGCGAGTCAAAACATTTTTATTTCAAACACTTTGATATTTTAAAGGAAATACAAGATATACAGCTGAACTAAATTCTTCAGCAAGATATAAACAAGTTGAAAACGATACAAAACTTCGATTGGGCATATGCGACACCATAACTCTTCTTGTTGAACAGTTTAAGGCATGGAAAGAATACGCAGGAAGAAATGCTAAACACACAGTAATTTCCAAGTCGCTTCAAGAACTTGACTTAAATGATACGTTGCATAAATTCGAAAGTTTCATGTGGTACGTATATCTTATTTCAGTTAGACATGCACCAAAGTAGGTAGAATGTATTGAAGGTAGAATGTATTGAGCGAGCTGTGTTTCTTAATTGTCGTTAAGTAGTAAACGACCTTAATGTAGAATGTTGTAATAAAAATAATATCTTTCTCGAAACATTTGATCATTCTATAGTATATATTTCCAAGTGTGCTGCATATTTTAAACACTCAGAGATTTGCAGTTTATAAGGCAGTGAAAAGAAAGATCAACTCTTAATATTATTACAATTCCGTGTTATGGTACACACTTAAGTACTAAAAAAATTCGTTCTTTATTTAGTTATATATTTAGTTATATATTTAATATAGAACACGAACATGTAAATCCTTTAAGTATGTTGGGTGTGTGTTTGTAGTAATCCGCCCATGCTACTCCAAAAGCGTCAAGTCACATCTCATATCAAGGACGACGATTTCTGTATATCGGATCAAAACCATGATGTCATGTCTTTTCCAATGCCTCAAGTACATCTTAAAAGAACCTTTTATGCAATGGAACAAAGCAGTTGCTGCCAAGAACGTAGGAAAGTCCCAGACGGTGTACCAGACAATGTGGTAATGCCGAAATGGTGTTACCAGGAATCGATTCATCAGAGAGAAACTTTTCCAACAACAAAATACAATACAGAAAACCCATTGGAACCTGATCATGAGGAAGCGAATGGTTTGTGTAGGGAAAAGAAAAACGATCCTCATAACGAATCAGGTGAATCAAATCTGTTTACACCCTCTCAACCACATTTGACCATGAGTTCATTTTGGTTATTGATTAGAACATTTGTCCTGAAATCCAAAGAATACTTGTGTCAAGATATGTACCAAATACTTCTATGCGATACCATTTCAAAAGTCATGACAGAAACAGTCAAAAAAGAAGAAGTAATACTGTCTTTAACATACCAGGATTTTCTGGATGCAGAAAAAATCAAAACAAAAAAGGAAACAATTGCTGTGATGTATTCAAACGAAATAAGATTAGTACTGGGAGAAGCAGTTTTCTCAGACCTGAGTTTCTATGCAGAATATGCACGGAGGCAAGTAATCGGAAGACTTGGAGGAAATATCAACAAGGCAGACAAAGATTACCTTTTTCTAAACTACAACGGTAACCGAATGTATTCACAGGTAATAATTAACATTATATCTGTTTAATACGGCTATCCTAGTGTTTGTATGTGTCTAGTACAGGTTTGTGCGTGCCTTTGACAGAATGTGCATACCATAAGTCATTTACAACTAACACGTATAAGTTTAATTTAAGGATGTAGATTAATCAGCTAGTCAATTGCTGGTTGTGGGGAGTTATACAAATATATTGCTTTGTGACCAGATAATGCATTTTGAATGCATAACGTGAATCAATCTATCTTATTAAAAAGACATCAGTACTAAACAAGTTTCACCGTGACTTTCAAATTTAGCCTTCTAAATTCAACGTTATTAATCAAATAAGCATTGTTTCAAAATATGTTTTATTTCATTTTTTTTCCATGAGAAATCACTTCATATTTCATCCCCGTATGATAACGATGCACAAAGACATATTGTCTAAATTTATACATAACAGAGAATTTACATGGCGCTCAGAATCTGTCACATAGCCATAGCCAGGCAGGCATCATTCATTTTAGCTATGGACTCCGATTAGAGTTTAAAATGTTATGTCATCAGTTTAATTTATTTATAAAATTGAATCATTGATAAAAAATGAAACTTCCTTTAATGTCTTTACAATATAATTCCTTTATACATGTATATTCAATAATAATAACGTATTTGGAACGATGAAAGACTGTTTTAAATAATGTATAATTGCTATACATATTTTGTTTTTGTCCATATTGCTAAAAATTTGTAAAAGAAACATAAATCGGTTATTTAAAGAATGTGAAAGATAATTATGATCGACATATTCAGGATAACATAATGTAAATAGAAAAGGTTTGAGCGCAAAAAACGTTTGGTTGTTTTATTTGGATTTTAAGCCACACCAACACAGTAAAGGTCATAATGCGACTATCCAGCTTTACTGGAGGAGAAAAAACTTTGATGACCATTCGTGCAATATTTTAAGTATGAGCGGGTTAGTAGAGCCACCGGTCTATCGTAAGCTTGCTTGACAGTGTAAATCCAGTCCATTGCGGGAGTAAAACCTGAAGTGATTTGTCGGGCATGGGGATCCCAAAACATTCAGTAGCAGTCTGTAATTATGTATGAAATGTTTGAATTAAAGTTTCTCTCCAAACGTTTGTGTTAATTTTCAGCGCCACCTAGGTAATGAGAAAGAAGAAGATGTGTGTCCAGCCAAAGAACGTTCTGTTACTGTCCAAGATACCAGTACAGCTAAAATGGAAGAAAATCAACTGTGACTACATTTTACTAGGCGCACATCAATGTTTTAAGCTAAGCAATACTTAATAATACAATTGGCATTTTTACAAAATGGGCGCCAAAGACTGAAAATTGTTGAATGTTTCTGATACGGTTTGATTGTCTCAGTCCAAGGAATGGTATTTTTTCTTGGTTTAATCATTGTCATAGAAAGTGTAAGCACACGATTGTTTCCAGAATAATTGATCTCGGACACAAAATATTATGTTTATGTTTGTTTGATTTTGTTTGCTGTTTAACATACGCTGATAGTATCTATATGCTTGTTACTCTTTTGTGTTTGCTTATTTCTTTATATGTCTTTTCAAAGTATGACTTTTTATGCGTTTATGTTTTATAAGAATGAGCGTGTGCTTCACAAATAAAAGCATTCTTTGTGATGTGATTATACTTTGTTCTTAATTATATCATATTTTCATAATACTTATAATACCATGTGTATGATCATGTAGAAATAAACTAAATATACGATAGTTTTTTTTTGTCTGTAGTACTACTAGTATATACGTTTTATGTGGCGCAGTAAAACTTCCCTTTACAGAAATTTGATTGACTTTTTGTGATAACTGTCTTCACAAACTGACCTTGGCCATAGGAAACGACACGTAGCTTTTAAATGCTCAGTCAAAAATGTCTTTATTGTGACAAAAACTAATGTTTTAATTGAATAAATAAAATCAAACTCATCAATATATTGAATAAATTTTCAGCCAGAATTTTGAACATTTTTTATAGATTGCAAACATCCGACTTTCACTTTACTAAAGGCAACAACCTGTTACGTACATGACATAATTATATATATAAAAATTTATGTTGTAAATAGCGTCTTTGATGAACCATTAAACTGTCATCAAAAACCTTTGTCCGAGTCATACTTAGATTGAATTAAGCAGCATTATACCAAATAAATTATGGGGAAATGGCAATTTGATTTGAACATTTATAATTATATATGGTATAATAATGTATATGTATAGAAACCATGTTAAATTTTACATCCATACAAATTTGGATTTATATTAACTCACAGCAAGCCTCACTTCTCTCATAAAGATTTAATATAATCCTGCTTGATAGTTTAATAGGTCAATAAGTTCCCTCGCAAAGAACAAGTGTAATTCCTCATGTAGAACAGCTGTAGCATTTTCTGTTGTAACATCGTCGGCCACATATTTGGCAAATATTGCGCTCCTGTAATACAAGTTTAGCTATTTAAAACTACAATCGTGGAAAAAAATGAAAAATTGAAAAAATGTGCTATTTTAATCAATATTCGTGTTCCTAAATATATCAAAAATCTGAAAAAGGTGTGATCCCCCGGAAGCACATATAAAGTTCTGTATTATAAGTATGCTTTAACTTTGAAACCTTTCTTTCTTAAGTGTTACTTATTTCGGTCGTAAAATGCATTCCATTTGTATAAATAAAAAACTTTGTGTTTTTTTCTTTTAACATATGTTAACGTTATACATGAATGCTACTATTTCAATATCAAAGCACGACTTCATTATAGGAAGCTAAAACACATGGAGTCTTTCTGCTTACCTTCCTTGGACTTTTCGCTATGTTTGATACATCATCAGATGCTGAATCTTGTCTTGACTGTTCGTCTTCAATGTATCCTAGGTCAGGCAAGTTTTGAATAAACCTCTCTATTTCTGAATGGGTTACCAGTTGATACTCGTCTTTATTTGGTGATGCATCTAATTTAGAAAGCTTCTGTTTGATATCAGATAATGTCTTCTCTCCTTTCTTTAAAGATATGAAGACAAGAACTTCTTTTTCAGGTGTTGCAGTATCCAGCTGCTCCTTGAGATGAACTAGTTCTTGCGTGTACACCTGTATTTCAGAGTTTCCTCGATTTATAAACTTATTGTTTTCATTGAATTTTATATCCATATATTCAACTGTTTTTCTCTCCAAAGAGTCAAATAAGTCATTTATCACTTTTCGATGTTCTTTTAAAGTTTTAATACACTTTTCTTTTGAGTTTTTGTTGATTATGGCTTTTTTGTCAAAATTTTCTTTGCAGCTCACGACTTCTTTTATTTCTTTGTCTGTATTTGTCTTCATGTCTTTGAATTCTTGTTTTGTGCATATACTTTTCGCTTTTTCAGGTATGTATTCCATATCAGAACAGGACCTACAAAGGACTGTATTTTTAATATGGTTTTTTTCACGTAAATGATACCAAATGGGTGTTTTATTAATTGCTATAATTTGTTAAAAATGCTAGTTTTTTATTTGTATAACAGCTTTTGTTCGGAGTAAGCTTATAAAAACCTTGATAGTCTAGAAAACTAACCGCTCACTGAAAGCTTAATTACAACTCGGGATTTAAACTTTTGGACCCGAAATCCGATAACCAGGACATAATTTGTAATTAGCAAATCTTGTTGGGTTTGACAAAGTACTTTTTACAACTAACTTTTTGCCTTTCTAGTGTGAATAACAATATACCAAACATTTAAACTGAAATACAAAGCATACTATTTTAAGGCATTGAATAAAACTTACCTATGTTGTAACGACACACAAACGTGACAACACAGCGACCCGTGTGTCCCACAGAAGAATTCATAACTCTTGTCATGTGTTTTGCATTTGTAAGGAAGTTTTGACCAAATACCGATGTCTGATCCTTTTAACACTATATGCTTTTCTAGAAGAGGAATTCGCGTATGGAACTGGAAACAGGGTTCACAGAAATATGCTTCGCAGTCGGTGCAATAGTACTTGGACACAGCATTCTTCTCTGTTTTCCTACATGGTGTGCACGAGTTTTCTTCGATTATGAAATTCCTGCCTACAACTCCCTTTTCCGATGTCATGTTTTATTTCTAAATAACATGAACAAAAAAAGATGAAAACAAAATATTTTTGTTATCAATTAATTTGAGAGTATTGCACATAATGTTTATGATGTGTAAATTGTTATAAAAAGGTAATAATAGTACATAAGTGCAGAAAATATTTACAAATAATAGTAATAATAAAACAGCCCTATGTGTGCCATTTCTTTCTTTCATTATGAACACATTGATATGAATTACTTACGATAAATACATCAAATGATGTATCTTCGAGTAAACTTTTCGATGCATGCATAATTATGTTATTATTCCTAAAGTATCTGCATACTAAAGTATTTACATACCTGCTTACTTCAATGTAAATAAAAATAACAACTATCCGCAAACCAGTAGCAAATAACAGAAAAGATATTTTGATTTTTTTAAACCAATACTTATACTAGGTCTGTATATCGTATGTGTATACAAACTAGAATGCGTATTAAACTTTGTAGTAATTGTAGTAATATTTATTAGCTTTTATCTGTTAAGCTACTGCATGTTATAATTTACTATAGTCAGGTATGTACTCGTTTTATAAAATATACTTACAACAAACTTAAGTGTACTTTCGATTTCAATTACACCTTTATTGAAATAAATTAAATTATCATTAAAGTAATCTACATTCCTACTTAGATATAAATGATATCAACTGATAATTTCAAACCAACTCTGCACTTAACTACCAAAATATTTTGATTGATTTAAAGTACAATACATATACATGTACTAAGTTTTTATATCGTACAAGAATATTACATTTATAGCCTAATGTTTCTGTTATAATTTACTTTAGTAATGTATGAATTATACAACAGAATCACAACAAACTTTTAAAAATGTACTTTCGTTTTCAATAAGACCTTTATGAAATAAATGTACATGTAGGCTGGGATATACGACAGATGTAGGACAGATTAATCTTGATAAACATTAAATTGTCTATAAAAGTGTTTAATATATGTATACCTTCAATATATAGTGCGTTCATTCATAATTGCTAAATAAATGCATCATGCATATTAAAAAAAAATATATATTACCAAAATTTGATGTATAGATCCACCATAATAGATTTACGGTAGCATATATCTGGCGTAATCATTCGGAACGGCTCGCCAAATATCGATAGTCAAGTACGATGTAATCAATCCAGATTATGAAACATCTGTTTAAAAATTTATTGAACATGAGGGGGAAGTTTGAAATTTCTCTGAAATTTCATGATTTAAATCAACTTTTACAAGCCATAAAATAATAAACCCGTCATTTTTTTTTAATTATATTGTTCACATTATGCAAGCTACTATAATATGGTGTCTGATTTGGTACATTGCGCGTTGCGTTGTCGATAGCGACAATGCAACCTGTATCGTTATCGCCTTTTCGTCTTGTCGCTAGCGAGAACATGTAATACCTAATGTTTTGTACATACAACACAAAACTAAATTTAAAAAAAGGCAACGAAACGTGAAACAAACATTATAAAAGTTGTAGTTTAAGGAAATCTTAGTGTTAAATAGTGCTGTTTTCTGTTAATAAATGCAATAACCATAATATAATATTACACCTTACATAAGTGTGTTCCTTATGTCAAGGGGCCTTTAATAATATAATAATGGCCATTACGTAAGTACGTGATGCACAAAAAAAGTAAAGTGACCGCCTAAGCGGGCACTTTTACGATTTTGTCGGACTGCTAAGATTTAACGAGGACCCCAATTATTACTTCTTATATATTAAATTAAAATTACAATTAATAAGAGCTATACATGATTGTACATATGAAAAGAATGTTAAGTTTACACTTTCCAGTGGTACTTGTTTTGCTTAGTAAATTCTAGTTTTGTTTAGTATGGGATAGAAATATATATGTCTATTTCGGTGTAAGAAGATCTTTCAAAAGAAATTGAAATACACGATAAAAAAATGTAATAACTGTCGGTTTAATGATAAACGAAAATTGTGAAGTCCAAAGTATGTAAGCATCGAGTTAAATTTTTATTCCTCAAACATCTAATTCCAAGAAAATCATATGGTGTAAATTTAACCTCTTTTTCAGCCTGATTTAAAATTGATGAATTTGGCTGTGTTTATTTTTAAAAAGTGTTTTTGCATTTATTAAATGATCTCGTTCAGTAAATTATTATTAATGAATACAACTGATAGTTACAACATTTCTTCCATCTTTAGAAGCAGCTGATGCAGTTATCATATGTATTGAAATCAAAATTACAGAGACACTATTAAAAGAGCACAGCGAAATGGATTGGGTACGATATATAGGTCGCAAAACGAAATCCAATTGTTTTTTTATTTGTTTTTATTTATTTATTCATTTATTTATTTATTTATTCTGGTAAGAGAATGTCCTTCACGAGTACTTATTAATACAAGTCAACCTGTTAGGAGAAGCTGAAGCCTCGGTTTTTTGCCGTTTGTAAATGACACCAGTAGGTATATCAAATATCACACCACTACGATCACAATGAAATATAGAAAATTAAAAGAAATATATGATTTTTTTCTTTTAGAGTATTTTTGTTGAGAAAATTTACATTTGAGATATAGATATAATTGCAAACATCACAAAAGGATAGATTACAATATAAATATGTCCTAATTATCTTTCAAAGCTATATATTTCGAAACACATATTATCCGAAGTGTGCAAAATTCATATTATTTATAAACATATCTATGTCAATGGTAATTGAAAAGAAATACTGTTGCATTAGCAATAATAATGTATGTTACATCCTTGTGGTTATTTAGATATATAAACGTACATCACTGTGTACGCAAACACATAAATCCATAACATATGGTAACTCTATAGACTGCAGGTTATCAATATATTCCACGTGGTCCAAACAATCCACCCAACAAAACAAAAATAAAAATCCAATTTAACTTACGTCAACACGCAGGTGTTTACTAAAGCTAACAAATGATATTTTTTTTAATTCTTTCAGGACCGTTTCCTTCTTGTGCCACTTTTCTTTAAACCAATGTTCGATGTCATTTTTTTCTTTAGAAGGGACAGTTTCGTTATGGTACAAATCTATTAAGAAATGGACTTCCGACGCGAATTTAAGGTGTCTTTTATCATATCCATTTCATTTTGGAAAACAGTTTCACAATGTCCAACGGTGATAGCTGTGATAAAGTCGAGAATTTCACCTTAAATATGGAACATAAACACTGTGGCACATTAGTAAAGTATATGCCGAATTAAAAAGTAGAATCTGCATCATAAAATACACTTTGAAACTTTTAAAGAGATATACATTGAAAAGTGTACATTCCTGACACTTACCATGCGTGTGTTTTTAGCCAAATGAACTGCATCCAGAGCATATAAAACGCCAGTGCCAGAGCATTTAATACGTCTAAGCTAGAGCATTTAAGACATGTAAGCCAATATAAACACGTAAATAAGAATTAAACAAAAGTCCAAATTTAAATACAGGGGTTGAAGTCACACACCATGTAGATATTCAATAAAAAAAAATCCGCATACCGCTTTTCGTCTCCTGTACAAAGTGTGCAAATGCTGTTGTCCTAGGATGTAAAATGTAGTCATATTTTGGTAAAATTATATCTTTCTGCAAATGAGTCACTGCGCTTTTTAGTGTTGGAGTAGGGTCAGTGCCCTCAGGAAACAATTATGTTAAATTAGCAGACTTGAAATCGTATACATTCCTTGAAAAGCTTACTAAGTAATTTATGTATCATACTTAAAAGTAAGCTATTTCATTGTAGCTTAAAATGATTTGATATTGTTCATTACTTTGTTTTGTTCAAATACAAAATTAATATAATAACAACAAAAATAAACACTTATTAAGACAATACATCATACTAAAATATTATCATTTCATGTCTCCGATTAAATCAATTTGAATAAAAATGGATGAAACTGAAATAAGTGTAATTTGGAGAGAGAATCAGCTCTTGCATGGTAGTTAAACTATACGCCTATAATTATGTTACTCTTTGATAATTTGAAAAACTGGTTGTATCTTAATTATAAGTTATATTTCGAATGAACTGATGTATTGTCGATCATTGTTCTTGACAAACTTTTTTTTAGTTTATTTTTATTTCCTTGACGTAATCTAAGACCAATCGATCACATTTATAGAGGATATTGAATGAGTGTAAGTTCAATACTGAATTTATTGCACAACGCTTATGACGTCACGTCAAAATATATGCACGACCGTGCAATACCATATTTACGGAGTCGCAAAATCGGCACGGGTGTGTGATAAAGACAATTATTGCATAAATCCTACCTTGACGAATAATTATTTAACTGTGGCGAATCAATAGTAAACTGTGGCGATCGTTATTGTGTCGAATCGTTACTAATTTTCACAATTTCTTTCGATTATTTTTAAAAGAAATAATTTGAGTATTTAAGAGTGTTAACGGCTTTAAACAAAATAAACGAATCATATAAAAGTATAAAAATTGACCTCTGTTACCTCAGGTACGTATATTAACGTTAATATATATACCTAGTTGTACCTGTTAACTTGAAAAGTTCTTTGTGTATCTGTTAATTTTTTATTTCAAATACTAAGTTTGGTAATACTAACCTCTGGAATAAATTTAGTGATGTTTAACCTTAATTAGCCCGCATAACCGGATACTAGAAATTAGTTAAACTTTGACGGGATTCATTTATGAGGAATAAACTGAAGGTTTCCAAATTCAAACTATCTGTACCAGTCATTTGCCCTTAGCTACCGTAATGGCGGACGGTAAGTGAATGCTGTGAAAATTTTGCATTTTATTTGAAAGCGTATGTTTATAACAACATTTTGGGACTAATATCTGTTCTGTTCATTGTAATTTGTCCTTTCAATATCGTAAATGGTGAAGAATTTGAAGTACCATTGTAAAATTAACTCAAGAATAAAAAAAACCGCTCTCAGGGGGGCACCTGCTTGTTTACGTCTTACATCGATATGAAACTACTTTTACAGTTCGTTTCTTTCTAGAATTTTGTCAATCGTGTATCATCCTAAAGTAGAAGGTATTTCTCTTCATTTTTTTTGGACACAATATTGATTCACTCAATTCTAGACTAAGATATTTCAATTTTTAATGAGAGTTGAATTTTGAGGCATGAAGTGAGATGAATAACCAGGCATTAAGGCCAGTCATAAGATGGTTTTATTCGTGTGTCATGTTAGGCCAGTCAAGAACCAATTTCTTCAGCAGAGAATAGTGAAAGTGTGGGGAAATACATTGGCTTTTTAGTTTAATAGAATTGCCATTTTACTTCCTGCAGTAACCAGGCTTCTGAAAAGGAAGTGACTAGCCTGGCCCGTACGGCTAGCCAAAAGTTCTAGCCGTATGTTAGTCACGTACGACTAGCCAGGACTCACTGTATTGTCTAGCCGTATGGCACTTTTCAAAATTATATGGAAGTCGAACATGCATATGTTATTTTGTGCCTCATGACTATGATTTGTTGTTTTATTTGTATGAAAGATGAATTTTAAATCCAATATATATAGAATGTAGGTGCTGGCGCAATAATCTTGAGCAAAATGAGGGTTGTTGAACACATTTCTGTTAAGAATTTTACATTACAACATACCCGTATTATTTAAGGACTTCAAAAATTATGGCTTATAAATATAAACATGAAAAAGTAGAAATGATTCTCACAGAAGTACCACTACCAGTAACCAAATATATGTCATATGTTATGCTCAAACAAACAATATTAAAAAAGGAATATTTTTATAGAAAAAAATGTGATTTTTTATGTCATATGCCCGATCTGGCATTTTCACCAGCTTGGTAACGTTTGTCCTTCCTGCAGTAATGTCTGACAATAGACTGACAAACCAGGAGAATATTGGACATCCAGATCTTTATTGCCGATGAGAAACAAATTCGGCAATATAAGGATGTCCCCTACCTATTCAAAAATCGGAGAAATATGGCAGCCCTTATGCTAAAAACACATGTAATTGTAAAATTTTACAAGCTTCCACAATTAAAATAATGATGTGCCAACCTGAAACTCGGCCCAGATCACACTGTTATAGTTTGTACCTCTTAAGTAACCAATTTATCACTGTTGATTTTTTCCCCACCATTTACAGAAAGAGTCCACCTCCACCAACTCTGGAATTTATTGGGTGAAAATGAGGGGAATAAGGAGTTTAAACCCTGTTATCTATGAGCAAGCCGTTTTTCCCATGAGCATGAAACTTTACATTCATTGCTTACTGTACTGGTTTATTCCAGGAACTAATTTGAAAGTGTTTCAATAAACTTAAAGGTTTCAAATTCCAAAACATAGTCTAAGTAAACTAAATTTGTATAAACTAAGCTTGTCAAAATTTGTAATGAAATTTAAGGCATTTTAATGCAATTCTTTTTTGTCCAAGCATTGTTCCATAGACAGACTCAAGTTTTATACCAGTCAATTGATTAATAGTAAATTTTAGAATATCTAAATGTAAATAATTTTTCAAACATGTACAAGATGAATTTTAAATGTACATGTCTGGTACAATGTACTCTTCAGGTAATTATATTATTTAGTAAATGATTTGAAACATGTTAAATATTGTTAAGTACAATTGTTACTAAAGATGATTTTCTTATTCACCAATTTTGCAAAGTATTGCACTATAAAGTATTTGTTTACCCAATTTGCAAACAACAGCCCTTCTACAGTAACACCATCGCCATTTAATGAATAAACCCATACTGTAAAGTGTTCTATAATACTAGAGTTGTAACATGTACATGTATTAGTGTTAAATATTTCTCTTTTTGGCTATTTTTAGATCAAGATAAGAACTCATTGACCGGTGAAAATGTTGGGGAGGAGAACCAGCAACCGGAGATCCCAGAAAATGTACAGGTAAATGACTTTCTGTTGTAGTTTATTAACCCATACTGGTTAAAACTGTAAATGATAAGCCTAGCTTCTAGTATAGCACCAGGCCAACCTGCGTATCTATGCAGTCTCACCAGGGTCTATATACTGCCAAGTTGGTACATGTACAATCATGTAGGTAAGATTTTGTATATTGACATTGAATTCCCTAAATTTTCAAATGGACTGTCCCATATCAAATGTATTTGGTAGGATAAATTACGCTATGTGGCGACTGCCAGATTATGAGATACAATTCCATTTTCTAACTTTTAAGACTGAATTCCTAATGTGAATTTACAGCTTAAGCATTGTTCTGAGGTGTTGCACAGTCTGATTATTACTCTGATAGTACTATTATATATCTGTGCCAACAGCACACTTGAAGTCATTCATTTTTAAATAGAAAATAACCAAAAAAAAAAAATTCCCATTTTACCATTATAACTATGAACCTCATTATTGAATACCAGATATATATATATTACCTTTAAGTCACAAATCTAGTTACATGTATAACTAGCTACATGTAAGCTGCCTAGTAGATAAGATTCTCAGAATATTTGAATTGATTATGGTATATATTTTCTAGTATTAGACTACCAATTCACACTGTGACTGTCAAGGCTCATATAACTGCTGTTTTAGAATAACACCACTAGTGTACACACTAAATATGATATATTTATATAAAGTATGATAGTTTTGTGGTAAACATGAGCTGCCTTTAACACTTATGATTGAAAAACAAAGCAAAAATGATTTGGTCAGAATAAATTAAAATGCTTGTTAGCCCTTTCCCAGCTTGAACTATCATGCAGTCTGGGCAGGCTCCTTAATGGTGGCTGACTGACTTTCATTTCCATCTTGATATTCCCAAAGTTGATAATGGACAGTTCCAAAATAAAAGTTTGACTGGTCCATAGTTTGAGGGTTATAGCCATTGTTTCCAGATTGTAAATGGATAAAAAAAATTCAGGTCAATGGTAAATACTGGTATAGTTAGGTCCATAAGTTTGAAATCCATTATTCAAGGAAGAATGTTAACAAAATTATCATTATGAATGTATCGTGTTTTTTCTTTGCGTAATGTACAATTACTTACGCAAAAGCAGATACAAATAATATTCAACATGGTCACTTGATCTGGTTTGCCTTGTGTCAGGATTGTATTTCAGTTTTAGTTAATGTGTACACTGGTGAAAGCTATTCATATTTTAATGATATGCTTGATATAATCCCATGCATCAAGGTTCACATACATGTATTCAAATATTGTTGTGTCCTCTACCATGAAAAAAATCTGTAGTTTAATAAAAGAAGGTTTATCCCAATGGCTGTAAAGTAGGCTGTCTGTTTTCGAAGCAAATATGTCAGTGTTAACACAGCTACAATAACATAGTACTTTACAATAAATGGTAGAATTCATATTTCATTGTTCTTAAAAAGCAATATCTATATATAGTTACGAAATTGCCTATGATTTTAACTGATTATGAGTGTCATGTGACCGATTATAAGTTTGCGGCCCGGGGCCAATAACTGATAATCATAATCGGCCCGCTGAACACGAGTATGTGCACAAACTGAAACAATGATGTCACATTTTATGTACCTGTAAAAGTAGGATAGAAGCAGGAATAGCTTGATTATATAAATAGAACATAAATGTAATTTCTACAAACACAGCTGTATTGAAATTTAAAGAAATAACATACTAACCAAAATTTCATTTCGAGAAAATAAATTGTGTTTCTACATTCTGTTGGATACAAATAAGGGAAGCAACTCTGTATAAGGTACTGTACCATACAGTTGAAATCTGTACAGAGATAGGAGATGGGAATTTCAATGAAAGAAATATCAAAGTCAAATTTAAAAAACTGCTTCTGTTAGATCTATCAAGTGTATTTAAGACATTCATACACATCATAGACGGGCCAGAAGGTGATAATCTGCCCTGACATGAATAATGATCTCGGGCCATTATTCATTTTGCGGGCCGATTATTACCTTCCGGCCTTACTCTGCCATGTATTTGTCTCTTATTAAAACTAATATTATAAATTTCTTTTTTTTTAACAGAAAATAATCAATGCTGAGAAAGAGGCCGAGGGCTTGCCTGCAAAGAGACCCAAGGTGGACCTACAGTCTCTGCCCACTCGGGCCTACCTAGACCAAACTGTTGTTCCAATACTTTTACAGGGAATGTCTGTTTTAGCTAAAGAAAGGTATGATTAGTTTTCTTATTGATGCATTGTTAGTTGTAAAAACTTGTTTTCATTGTCTTGTTAAGAACAATAATGAATATGAATTTTTAAATTAAATTTTTTTAGAAACCATCTAACACGAGTGTGATAACACTTCGATGTGACTTCATTTGCCTTTATATGCAAAATTAGAGTTAAATATTAGTGTTACACTCTAGGAAAAATGAAGTATGTCATAAATAGAATATTATGTTTGTGTAGGTTCAGTAATAAATTTATTAAACTCGTTAAATATAACAAAGTTATGCTCGCTAGTGGCTTGCATAATATGATTTTATTTAATACTTTCAATGAATTTAGTATTAAATCTACACTCATTTAATATCCTCTATATATGCACTCAAGGATATAAGTAAGATCAAAACAGTGCCATAATTTCTGTTGTGAAAATAATTAATATGCAAGAAAAAGAATCAAACACCAGCTGTCGGTACATATTAGAATATCTAGCTCACAGTTAAATGTTTAGCAGAAACTCGGCAGAGCCTCGTTACTGCTGTAAACACTAAACAGTTACCCTCGAGCTAGATATTCCAGTCTGTACTTGAAGCCAGTGTAAGATTGTTATAAACTGTATCAGGCAAATAGCTCAATTACAACTATCATATGATCAAAATGATGCTATGTCTTGTACTGCTGTAAAGTAGAGGGATTTACATTGTATATATAACTTAGCTTGTCTTTATTTGTGTCTGCCATTTACCTATATAGCTTTTGTTCTTGAAACAAGTTTGCAATAATCATCTGCAGCTCTTTGATGATTGTCTGCCCTACATAAATCACACGCATTAAACTTAAAGAACACATAGTACAAAACAAATATAAAAAAATTGCACTTATATCTGTATGGTGCAAGACCAGATAATCGCCCATTCTCAATAAAATAAAGCATTTGAGGTTGAAAAATATTAAAAATTTGATGTTGTCATTGTGTCAATTTTTATCGCTGAAGTAAAGGTTTAGGGTATTTTGCAAGTTTGCCAGAAATATTTTGAACAAGAAACTATGATATAACAGGATGGCATTTATTTTGGTAATGACACTGTATTTCTTCGGTAACGTAGATTTCAGATCTAATAATGTAACATATTGGCTGCATATTAACCCATTGCTTCATGAGCATTTTGTGAAAAATGGCTGTTTTCATTGAAAAGTCTCCCGTTACAAGTTCAAATTGCTATAATACTATAAAAACTGCTTCAACACTAATCAAACTTGGCACAAATGTTGACTGGACCATTGCCCTTGCAACAACATGCTCAGGCTTAAATTTTCTGTTACCATGGCAACGAGGGGACATCTCAAAATTGCCAAAAATCACTATTTTGCGTTGATTTTTTCCATCAAAATTGATTTCAAAGTGCTGCAACTTCTCAATGGATTGAGATAGAGTCAAATGCTTTTCAGCGTTGCTTACACGTTACCTTATGATCAATCTGGGGTCATTTACAGCCTCTCACAAGCCCAAAATTTTCTTGGCGATGACGGGGACTACGCCCCCCTTCAAACCCCCCAAACAGAAGGGGGCACATCCCCCTTCTGGCAACCCCCTGATGTATCTTTTGGTTGGGGGGCCGCGCCGAAAAAGAGGTCACTTTTTTTAACAACATTTCTCAAACAAAACCAAGTGTTTGGGACCTAAATAAGGCATTTTTTCATCATTTGAGACAACAAAAAGGGGGGGGGGTGAAAAAGGCGTTAAAAGGCGTGTATATGAAGTAATGGGTTAACAGAAAATGATGAAAATACTTGAAATTACCCTAAATCGCGTTTTTTCATGTTTAAACATGGCCTGTCATATAAATTTGATGAAAAATTGTTGTTTTGTAGATTTTTTTTATTTTTTTCATTAACCCATTGCTTCATGAGCATTTTGTGAAAAATGGCTGTTTTCATTGAAAAGTCTCCCGTTACAAGTTCAAATTGCTATAATACTATAAAAACTGCTTCAACACTAATCAAACTTGGCACAAATGTTGACTGGACCATTGCCCTTGCAACAACATGCTCAGGCTTAAATTTTCTGTTACCATGGCAACGAGGGGACATCTCAAAATTGCCAAAAATCACTATTTTGCGTTGATTTTTTCCATCAAAATTGATTTCAAAGTGCTGCAACTTCTCAATGGATTGAGATAGAGTCAAATGCTTTTCAGCGTTGCTTACACGTTACCTTATGATCAATCTGGGGTCATTTACAGCCTCTCACAAGCCCAAAATTTTCTTGGCGATGAGGGGGACTCCGCCCCCCTTCAAACCCCCAAACAGAAGGGGGCACATCCCCCTTCTGGCAACCCCCTGATGTATCTTTTGGTTGGGGGGCCGCGCCGAAAAAGAGGTCACTTTTTTTAACAACATTTCTCAAACAAAACCAAGTGTTTGGGGCCTAAATAAGGCATTTTTTCATCATTTGAGACAACAAAAAGGGGGGGGGGGGTGAAAAAGGCGTTAAAAGGCGTGTATATGAAGTAATGGGTTAACAGAAAATGATGAAAATACTTGAAATTACCCTAAATCGCGTTTTTTCATGTTTAAACATGGCCTGTCATATAAATTTGATGAAAAATTGTTGTTTTGTAGATTTTTTTATTTTTTTCATTAACCCATTGCTTCATGAGCATTTTGTGAAAAATGGCTGTTTTCATTGAAAAGTCTCCCGTTACAAGTTCAAATTGCTATAATACTATAAAAACTGCTTCAACACTAATCAAACTTGGCACAAATGTTGACTGGACCATTGCCCTTGCAACAACATGCTCAGGCTTAAATTTTCTGTTACCATGGCAACGAGGGGACATCTCAAAATTGCCAAAAATCACTATTTTGCGTTGATTTTTTCCATCAAAATTGATTTCAAAGTGCTGCAACTTCTCAATGGATTGAGATAGAGTCAAATGCTTTTCAGCGTTGGCTTACACGTTACCTTATGATCAATCTGGGGTCATTTACAGCCTCTCACAAGCCCAAAATTTTCTTGGCGATGAGGGGGACTCCGCCCCCCTTCAAACCCCCCAAACAGAAGGGGGCACATCCCCCTTCTGGCAACCCCCTGATGTATCTTTTGGTTGGGGGGCCGCGCCGAAAAAGAGGTCACTTTTTTTAACAACATTTCTCAAACAAAACCAAGTGTTTGGGGCCTAAATAAGGCATTTTTTCATCATTTGAGACAACAAAAAGGGGGGGGGGGTGAAAAAGGCGTTAAAAGGCGTGTATATGAAGTAATGGGTTAACAGAAAATGATGAAAATACTTGAAATTACCCTAAATCGCGTTTTTTCATGTTTAAACATGGCCTGTCATATAAATTTGATGAAAAATTGTTGTTTTGTAGATTTTTTTATTTTTTTCATTAACCCATTGCTTCATGAGCATTTTGTGAAAAATGGCTGTTTTCATTGAAAAGTCTCCCGTTACAAGTTCAAATTGCTATAATACTATAAAAACTGCTTCAACACTAATCAAACTTGGCACAAATGTTGACTGGACCATTGCCCTTGCAACAACATGCTCAGGCTTAAATTTTCTGTTACCATGGCAACGAGGGGACATCTCAAAATTGCCAAAAATCACTATTTTGCGTTGATTTTTTCCATCAAAATTGATTTCAAAGTGCTGCAACTTCTCAATGGATTGAGATAGAGTCAAATGCTTTTCAGCGTTGCTTACACGTTACCTTATGATCAATCTGGGGTCATTTACAGCCTCTCACAAGCCCAAAATTTTCTTGGCGATGAGGGGGACTCCGCCCCCCTTCAAACCCCCCAAACAGAAGGGGGCACATCCCCCTTCTGGCAACCCCCTGATGTATCTTTTGGTTGGGGGGCCGCGCCGAAAAAGAGGTCACTTTTTTTTAACAACATTTCTCAAACAAAACCAAGTGTTTGGGGCCTAAATAAGGCATTTTTTCATCATTTGAGACAACAAAAAGGGGGGGGGGGGTGAAAAAGGCGTTAAAAGGCGTGTATATGAAGTAATGGGTTAACAGAAAATGATGAAAATACTTGAAATTACCCTAAATCGCGTTTTTTCATGTTTAAACATGGCCTGTCATATAAATTTGATGAAAAATTGTTGTTTTGTAGATTTTTTTATTTTTTTCATTAACCCATTGCTTCATGAGCATTTTGTGAAAAATGGCTGTTTTCATTGAAAAGTCTCCCGTTACAAGTTCAAATTGCTATAATACTATAAAAACTGCTTCAACACTAATCAAACTTGGCACAAATGTTGACTGGACCATTGCCCTTGCAACAACATGCTCAGGCTTAAATTTTCTGTTACCATGGCAACGAGGGGACATCTCAAAATTGCCAAAAATCACTATTTTGCGTTGATTTTTTCCATCAAAATTGATTTCAAAGTGCTGCAACTTCTCAATGGATTGAGATAGAGTCAAATGATTTTCAGCGTTGCTTACACGTTACCTTATGATCAATCTGGGGTCATTTACAGCCTCTCACAAGCCCAAAATTTTCTTGGCGATGACGGGGACTACGCCCCCCTTCAAACCCCCCAAACAGAAGGGGGCACATCCCCCTTCTGGCAACCCCCTGATGTATCTTTTGGTTGGGGGGCCGCGCCGAAAAAGAGGTCACTTTTTTTAACAACATTTCTCAAACAAAACCAAGTGTTTGGGACCTAAATAAGGCATTTTTTCATCATTTGAGACAACAAAAAGGGGGGGGGGGTGAAAAAGGCGTTAAAAGGCGTGTATATGAAGTAATGGGTTAACAGAAAATGATGAAAATACTTGAAATTACCCTAAATCGCGTTTTTTCATGTTTAAACATGGCCTGTCGTATAAATTTGATGAAAAATTGTTGTTTTGTAGATTTTTTTATTTTTTTCATTAACCCATTGCTTCATGAGCATTTTGTGAAAAATGGCTGTTTTCATTGAAAAGTCTCCCGTTACAAGTTCAAATTGCTATAATACTATAAAAACTGCTTCAACACTAATCAA